AACGTGTTTGTCCAGATGTTGACAGACTACGGTGAAGATTTCGTCGACTGTGCCATCTGCTTTGATCTAAAACAGTAGAATGCCGAGCAGTAGGGTAACAGAGAACACAAAACCAACGGACCCTGATCAGCTTCTTCTTCTTTTCATAATAGTCTAACAACTGGAGCGGTAGCATTTGGTGAAAGTCTTCAGACGCTTCTTAATAGTTTCCATATTGTCATCAGCACGACCACTACAACTTTTGATATGTAGCGACTAACTAATTGTAAAAAACAAGTAAGTAATTAACCTAGTCTTAGCTCGATGAAGAAGTCGTTGTACCAGAATATCTTCAGCAACATCGAAATATATGACTGACTTTGCCTCTTGAATCTGAAACATCGTATGACATGGTAGTCCGTTGGCAATTTGCCAATAAAAAACCTACCTCACGTTCGAACTGCTCGCCTTGTTTCACCTCTCGAGGATAGCCATCAATAAGAAACCCTTTGGAACCTTTGGCAACTTCTTTTAGCATTGCCTCTTTGATCAGGTCCAAAACAATCTCCTGCAGAAAGTGATGAAATGACAAGAATACCGCTCAAAAAAGGTGAGCCGCTAACTCACGAGAGGAACCAATTCTCCTGCTTCCATGATTTTGTTGAGCTGTGCTCCTCTTGGTGAGCCTGATTTGACCTAAATTTTGAATATTGACGTGAAACGCTATGTTGTATGCGATAAGTTTCACCGCAGAGAGCACAATCAGAGATATCTAGGATTCCCACCTTGCGACACTAACGATTCCCGAATCGCGCTTCTGCAACCGACCGCTCCACTGCTAATTGTTGAACCGACGTAAGCTGATTCACTTTCAGGAAACAACCACTTCACTGCTACAGCGGTTTATAGATAAGCAGTATGGCGCGATCGGTCGCTGCCGCGCGATTTAGGAATCGCTGTGTCGCTAAGTATAAACGGAGCCGAACAGCGAAATGACTCAGTCGGAAAGTGGAACAAGAATTTATCATTATTTGAAATAGAGGTACATAGGAATTAGAAGAGACTGAGAATTCACCCCACTGTATACTACTTAAGTTGCTGGAATTACCTCATCCCTTAGAAGATCTCCAGACGATAGGTGAGATAAGCCATACCTGGCCACGATCTTCTCGCATTGTGTTCCTTTTCCGGAGCCTGGGCCACCTAAACAAAATTATCTTGAACGCTAGCGCGAAAACTCCATTATCACAATCAACGGCACGACAGTGAGCAGGAAACGTAAATAAGGCGGAGAAATCAGGACTGTTCTCTCGAGAGGAGGGCGCAGACGAAACAACCTAGTAATTCACACTTACCGACAATGAAGAATATCGGCACATTTGCTTTCTTCAAAGGCCCCAAAGTCAATAGATTTTCTCTGGATGGGCAGCAAATCGGGCCTATAAAAACAACCATCATTAGCCAAGTCCAACTTTCGATAAAGCTCTACTCTGTAGTAATGGCAGGTTGATTTGGCTAAACATAACGCTGGCAATAAAATTGAACCACTAACGTGACTTCGACGCAATCGTCATGCTGTGAGCCTGGAAGATGAGAATCGCGTTATGATCTACCCAACTAAACATCGCCCTACGCTGCTAGTTCTTTGAGACCTACACCACAAATTCGACACATACAATTCATCGCTTAAGTCATACGAAGGGAGGCTCTATGTGGCTTGCGAGGGGTCACCATATAGTCCCACCCGTCGACGAAACGCCATGAGGCTTAGCCAGGCCATGTTTTAGCGCTAAAAACCACGTCAGGCCATTTGGCATGTTTCGACGCTGACTAAGCCACAGCAGAACACGACGCTGTCTCAGTGAAAAGGTACAGACGAGCAGAGATGACATGACTCATCCCCGATAAATATTTCCGCATTACTGAACACCGTAAGATAAAGTAAGGGTATTTCTAGACCCAGGCTACCACTAGTTTGTTTGCTGCGGTATCAAAAAAAGGTGGGAATTTTAGTTGGTCAAATCAGCAGCTACTTCCAGCACCATTGCCCGAGCTCTTTTCTCTCATTCTCGTCGGTGCAGACCTTGCGACGATTCCTAGGTGAATGGGCCTGCAGCTGCAGCAGCGTGTCACTTTCTCGCTCAGGAGTGCGTGGGAACGAGGCTGAGGGTAGTAATAGCCGGGTGTCGTCTCCTGAAATGCTCGCGCTATTCTCATGTGTGGCACTTCGTTGATACCAAATCCCGCAGCGAACACAGAGTACCGTAGAGAACGGCCAGAAATGAGAGCGCTTAGACAAGAAGTGCGTCTGGCTACAGATAGGCATATGGCTAGTGGTGCGGCAGCGT